CTGTATTTCCTCGTCTGTTGCGGGAATATTAACTTCTGAATCCGCGGGCGCCCCCGCCGCGCCCGCGCCGCCTTCGGCGGGCATGTGGAAGTTCTCGACAAACTCAACATCTGCAGGTTGCCCCGCGATGGGTATGCCCAGCCATTCTGCCAGATCGATATCGTCGCGGCCAGTCAACACCTCCTCGAACAGCTCGTCGGCGCACCTCTCGAGGGCCATGCTGGCGCCGAGGTATCTGGCAGCCGCGACGCGCCCACTCCGTTCCCAAAGGCACGGTAGCGGACTGCGCAGCGCCCGCCCCTGCCCCCCTTCCCGCGCCCGCTGCCGCCCGCGGGCTGCCGCCCGCGGCGAGGCCTCCGGGGGCGAGGCGCGGCGGCTCGACGGCGAGGTGCCCCACCGCGTCTTCCTCCGGGGGAGCCGCGCCCCGCCCGGGGGCGGCGTCGGAGAGGGGGCGGCGTCGGCGGCGAGCCCAGCGGGGCAGTCCGATGAGATTTCGGGAGGCCCGGAGGGCCGGGAGGTCGAGAGGCGGGCTCGGGAGCCCAGAGGGGTCAGCGGCGAGTCCGGGCCAGCTAAACAAGACTCCCAGTCAACATACTGTAGGTCAGAGTCGGTTTGAGCCAAATGTATTGACGGACCCCTGCCTCTCCCGTCGCCGAGGGCATTCGCGGCCAAAGTGCTGTGTGCTGTGGCATATATCGCACTCCAGAGTCTTACCATTGGCATCCTTCGGGTTCCCCCGACGCACTTCACCTTTTCCTGATGCATGCCTGCGGTTTCTGCCTGCACCTATAAACATTTCTTCATACTGTGGCCCGGTGAGGGATGCTAAGAATGCTAATATGCCTCTACCATGCAATCGCCGACGCTTACCTTTACCCTTACTTCGACCCTTCTCTTTTCCCACGAGTGCTCGTCATACGATGAGCCGTACTTTACGGACGGGTTCCTTCATGAATCGCCTCCATCTGCGCTTCGGTTTTTAGCATCCTAAGAATTACCATTGTGCCTGTTGCTCTTCCGTGAGGTATGTAGGCATATCGGAGTAATCAAGGGCTGTGGCCTCATCGTCCGAAGACGTATCTGCGTCAGAACCGGAGTCGAAATCGGACTCGGCTGGTTGCCCCGCTGAGCCCATTGGGGCGCTAGCGCAGGGGCTACCGCGTCGGGCGGCCCCCGAAACCTGGCCCAGGAGTCTTGCGACCCCGAGGCCGATCCACCGTTCTGAGCCAGTAGCGTAGTGGTCTCAGTTGGTCGTGGATCGTCATTCCAGACGTCGTTAGCAAATTGCCCTGCGTTGGCCTCCGCGTGAAAGCTCTCGGTTCGGTGACCGCGACTGAAAATACAACCAATGTTACCAGGGGTTCTCACAGCAATGTGAGCATATGACCTCATACGTTCGAGTAGAGCGTCAAACTGTTGCTGGTCTCTCGGCATGCGGTGGTTTAGAGGCTGCAGGGGTTGTTGTGCACGCGATGTCCCCACCCCAAGAGCTCTGAATCAAATCACTGCTGAGATTTGAAAGTTGGGGATGTTGAAGCCTGCCGTTTCAGTTTCATAGAGGCTATCTCTAAGTGCGCTAACGTCTGGTCGATGCGTTCTCCCGCATGGGCTCGGAAGCCGATGAGAGCTCCTAAATTCTCGAATTCCGTGCTTAAAAGGAACGCGATGTAGGTGGCGCCGTCGGCATGGCGACAACCTATGTTAACGCCAACGTTGGTAACTGCTGGGGGAACTCTCATGGCCATGGTCCGTGCGAGACCTCCCAGGCCTCGCTGCAGGGCTGCAGCTCGCTGGGAGGGTGCCACGGTGCCTGTGGTCACTTTGATCCAGGCATCTACCTCACGAGCGAATTCGCGGAAAAGTACCTGACCGGCCGGATCCCAGTGAGGGCCGGTCGTTCTTGCGTCGCCTCCACCACGCACATGTCCTACCGCACACCTGATAGCGACCCATGCGAGCCCAAAGATAGCAACACCAATCCAATGGCCTCGCAGGTCGTAGTCGGATGTAGTAGGTTGGGGCTTCTGATTGGCGGTTGTAAGTCTGTGTGGGGGTGGAGGCGGCACCGCGTCGTATCGCATGTTTCCATGCATTATGTCTTCGAACACGTTTGAGGAGTGTAGTAGCGCAGGGATGTAGGACGAAAGTAAAAGGCCTCCGCGTGAGCGGAAGTGTCGCTGCAAGTGTCCTTGCTATACTGCGTAGTTCTATACATTCCTCCGCGCAAACCCACTGCACCCTGATGTTCCACCATGTCTGTAGTCCACCAGATAGTGCCGTGGATGGTGAGGAGCAGAGCTAGAGCTGACCACCATAGGCCAGCTCCACTACCAAGTTTGACAAGGGCTGGGAGGCCCAACCAGCAGCTTCCCCTTAGGCGAAGCACAGCCCCAGCTCTGTTGTACCGTCGTAACGATAGTCCCAGTAGTAGAGGGCGTACCATCTTAAGCAGTAGGAAGGTCCTTTTGGTCGCGATGGCTAATCGTATGCCTCACAATGAGGCACAGTCATATCTGGGCGGCCGCCCGTTTGAGCCGACGCGGCCGCGGGCGCACGCTCGCTTCCGTCCCTTATGTCCCTCAGCTCGCTTTAGAGATATTCCAGTTGACGATGTCAGATGTTGTCTCATTGGTGTTTGTCGTCCCTGTAATTAAGGTTACGACTGGGTGTTTGATCTGACGTGGCCGTCAGCTTGCGGATAAGTATGGGTACGGAGACTTGGCATGTGCATGGCGTGATGCCACGCGATGGCGAGATGGAGGGATCGGAACGTAAGTTGCCAATTGGTTGAAGAGTATTGGGTGGGTACTGGCTGATAGCCGGCGCAGTTGGGTACTCCACTGTGCCGTGGTAAGTTGTCATGTACAGAACACCTGGTGTAAGAGCCAGCCACATAAAGATGAGGTCAGTTCCGTTACCAACTGAACAGCGAGGGTTAGGGGCTTATTAGGATAACGTCGGAGACGTATCGAGGTATCCCACATACCCTCCCTTGATGGCAAGCAAGATGACAAATAAGGGACAATATTTCGGATAGAGAGATGAACCATCGGTGGATGTGGCCTTCATCTAACACTCAGGTCCGATTGTACCTCGAAGGCTCGAGGTAAGCAAATAGGGCAGCGCTGCCCTGAGCCAAAGCAACGCCGGTAGGATATAGCGTTCGCTATACGATCCCCCCTCTAACTCTGTTCAAAATTGTTTTCCTTTTGGGCGCCGCCCGTCAGGCCCTGCGGAGCGCTCGAACGGGGGCCCCACAAGGTCCCCCAGACGTTTCAAAAGGGCTCCCAGTCGTCGAACGATCGGCCCAAAATGCTTAAAGTGACCTTCAGATGGCACAAGACGCTTCTCAAACGCCCCAAGAGGCCACCAAGAGCCCTCCCAAGAGGGCCCCCTCCCAAAAGGGCCCCTAGAGGCAAAAAGTAATGGATTCCCGCTGGTTTTGAAGGGTTTAGGCGTTCTCGCGGTTTCGTCTTATACGCGCTCCAAAACGGCCAAAGAGGCACCCAAGATCGCCCCAATACAACCCAAGACGCCTCCAAGAGTGCCCCAAAACGGCCCCATAGGGCCCGAAGACAACCCAAGAGCCCTCCAAGACGGCCCAAAAGGTCCCCAAAAGAGCTCCAACAGCGGGCCCTGACGAGGCACCCGAACGGATATTTCTGCTCTCGGCCCCGAGAGGCCCCCACAAGGCCCCAAGAAGCCCCCAAGAGGCTCGCGAGAGGCCCCAAGAGAGCTCCAAGAGGCCCCCAAGAGACCCCAGGAGGTCCCAAAAATACCGCCAAGAGGCCCCTGAAAGGCCTCCCAAGAGACCCCAAGCAGCCTCCCAAACAGGCGTCTTGTCCACGATCAAGTTTGGCCCCAAGATGCCCCAAGAAGCGATCGAGAGGCCTCCTCCTCCCCTCCTCCTCCTCCTCCTCCTCCTCCTCCTCCTCCTCCTCCTCCTCCTCCACTACTTCTCGTTCGCCACGAGCATCCCTGACGATTGTGACCCACAACACACGCACGACGGTGGTATGGGTTCCAGGCGTTGCTGCTCTTCAATGCGCCTAAGATGTGTCCCAGATGCCCTAGATGGCTTCCAAGACGGACCTGGGCCAAGATGGCCGACGATACCTCCAAGACAGCCAAAGAGGCAAGAAGCCCCAAGAGCGCTCCAAGAGGTCCCCCAAGAGGGCCCACAGAGACAAAAGAACAGTGAGCTTGATTGTGTTCTTCAATGTTTTTTCACGCTATCGCCTTTTCGAGCATCCGAAGCTCCAAGACGGCCTCAAGGGCCCCCAAGACCGCCCTAAGACGGCCCAAGGGGCCCCCAAGAAAATCCCAAGACATCTCGAAACGGCCCCGAAACGGCCCAAGTGGCACCCAAGACAGCCCAAGAGTCCCAAAATAGCCGCGAGACGGGCCCAAGAGGGAAACACGAACCGACAATTCGAGCCTTGCGCCCGACGAGGCCACCAGGAAGCCCTAAAAGGCTTCCCCAAGGCGCGCAATATGGGCCGGCGCAATGCGCAAAGCGCTTAAATCAACGTTTTCGCCGTCGGGGGCACCTGTCCCAGGGCGGCTGGAAAAGTGTACCCCTATGGTGGTCCCAAGGCGCCCTCGGCGACGGGAAAATTAATGTTATCAGCGCCCCACAAACGGGGACTCCACTAACGGGTACTTTGGCCAGTGACCCAGCGAACCCAACCCTTCCCGATGCGGGCAACGCTGCATTGCCAGAAAGAGGCCCTAAAGTGGCAACTTTCGGCAAAATTGCAAAGTACCCGTTAGTAAGTACCCGTTACGGTGCCGTTGATGTTACTCCGTTCTTCGCCCGCTAAACCTTTTGGTGCGCGGCTTGATGTGGGCGCGGGGGGGGCAAGCCCGAGCGCGCAAGCCGCCGCTGTCGCATCAGTTTTCAGCGATCGGGGGGGAGGAGGAGGATAATGAGGAGGAGGAGGAGGAGGAGGAGGTCACCCTGGCGAAAGGCCACTCTTACGTGCAGCCGAGTGAAGGGCGAGGTGCCCCTCTGCCGGAAGAGGTCGTCCCAGTTCACGGGGGAGAACCACGGGTGTCTCTGGACGCGTCCTCCGCCGTCGTCGTCGTCGCCGTCGTTGTCGTCGTCGTCGTCGTCGCCGTCGCCGTCGCCAACGCCATCGCCGTCGCCGTCGCCGTCTCTGGACGCGTCCTCCGCCGTCGGCGCCGCTGCCGAGGCGCAGCGTCTGGTCTTTGATCAGGAGCAGGTAGACGATGCCCTTGGTCGCGCTCCCGAAGTAGGGAGGGCACCTCGGATCACGAGAGACCACGCTCTTGTGAATCTCTGTGGCGGTGCGTCCTGTGAAGGGGACCTGGAACGAGAGCATTTCGAAGATGAGGATGCCAAGCGCCCACCAGTCCACACATCTGCCATGACCGACTTGGGTCAAGACTTCGGGCGCCATGTACTCCGATGTTCCGCACACTGTGTACGTTTTTGTCCGAACGATTTTAGCCAATCCAAAATCGATAATCTTGGCGTGGCCCAGCGAGTCGATGGCAACGTTCTCGGGCTTGAGATCACGATATGCGATGTCCAAACTGTGCAGATGTCCGATTGCAAGCGTGATCTCAGCAGCGAAGAAGTGCGCACACCCGTCGTTAAACCTCACGTTTCGCATGGCGGAGAACAGGTCGCCTCCGCCTACACATTCCATCAGCATGAAGAGGCACCCGTCGTCCTGGAACGTGCCAAACAGCCTGACGATTAACGGATGGCTGGCTCGCGAGAGGAGCTCCTTTTCTTGCATCACACGTTCAGCCATGTGCTCCCTGATGACACGCTCTTTGTCGATTATCTTGAGCGCGTAAGGGACGGCACCTCTGGCATTGGAAAGCTTGACCATGAGAACTAAACCCATGAAGCCCTTACCAAGGGTCTTCACGATCTCGAAGTCTTTCGTCGTCCAGTTCTCGCTTCTCGCCACAGGCAAAAACTGGCGCGTGATCTGGTCGGGCCCCGCTGACGCGCAGGGATTTTCTGGAAGATCTGGCACACCGGGCATGTCCTCGCCGCGACTACTGGGTAGGGACACCACGCCATCGAGTTCGCTGAGTCTTCGGCTGCTCGTCTCGCTGACGCAGGTCGTGGTGGAAGCATGGTCCTTGCACGCCACGCAAACCTCCGATTTGACCTTCGCCCCATGCCGACCCCAGTGCGACAACCTGAGCACGAGGGGCGCCCATCGCGCGGTGCGGTTCATCGCTGGTCCTAGGCGTCGCCTGGCAGAAGCGGATGGGCCTATCATGGCTAAGGCCCTGCTCGCCTGAGCCAAACGGCCCAGGCTGAGCCGAAAGTGCCTGAATCAGCATGGCCACGGCTCCCGCTAGACTAATGTAAAGCGAATCTGACTACCTACCAGACCACCCCAACCCAACCCGAAGACCCCAAGTTCGGGTTGGGGGGGGGACGGGTTCCATATGTGTTTTTTCAATGTTCCCCAACCCCCCCCAACTGGAAATGGAGGGTAAATTCAGGCCTTCGGGTTGGGTTGGGGTGGTTTGGCGGGTGGTGAGAATCCTCTTACGGCGACAAAAGCTGCGTGTTGGCAACACACCTTGTCTTCCTCGGCACATCGCTACATTGCCTGCCTGCCTTCGATCCAGGCCAGGGGCGACTGACCACCAGAGACTGAAGCTTCAGAGACAGTGGCACCGGCAAATGTGAGTACATCCAGGGGAACTGAGCCACCCAAACCACTGTCTGGAGGTGACCACAAGGCAGAAATTGGGTCCTGCAGGACTCGGGGCTCTCCCTGGAATAGATGGTTCACCCCGGGTCGGTTTTGTTCGCTACCTAGGCTCTGCCTAGAAAGGTTCTTACCGTGTATCTTAAAGGGGCCGGGCAGTGCAAAACGCCCCGGGCGGTTCCCCTGGCATCCGCCCCGCGGTTCCCCCAGTGACGCTCCCTTAGCTTAGCGTTGCTTATCTCATCTTAGCTTAGCTTATTTCATTTTAGCTTAGCTTAGTTTCATCTTAGCTCTGGTTTGTCTTAGCTTAGCTTACCTCATCTTAGCTTCGCCGAGCTTTAGCATAGCAGAGCACAGCATAGCATAGCATAGCGTAGCACAGCACAGCGCAGCACAGCATGTCATAGCAAAGCCCAGCATAGCACAGCATACCGCAGCATAGCATAGCATAGCATAGCATAGCATAGCGCAGCACATCACAGCATAGCATAGCACCGAGCAGCATAGCATAGCATAACATAGCACAGCACAGCACAGCAGCAAAGCAAAGGCAAAGCAACAGCAGCGACAGCAAAGCAAAGCACAAGCAACGCAAAGCAAAGCAAAGCAAAAGCAAAAGCAAAGCAAAGGAAAGGCAAAGGAAAAGCAATGTGCGACAGATGCCGAGCTGGCCTCGATGGCCGGACCGGAGCCCCCGCAAGCAGTGCCTTCCGTAACCATGTCGGCTCAAGTCCGGAGGCCCCTGCCACACAGCCGCCCACGCTCATGTCCCGAGGTTGGCGGAGTGAGGCGCTCAGCGGTACTGCAAAGCCCGCCTCGGCGTCAGGTGGTGCTGCACAGCCCACCCGGCCTGTTGTGGCCATCGATGTGGGCGACGTCGCGTCCAAGCGGAACGACGATGAGCGGGTTGAAGGCAGCATGATGTACACGGCTGTCGAGGATGGTTTCTGGGCGTTCGTTGTGCTCTTTGCGGCTGAGTACGGTTCTGCAAGACATGCACTTCATCAGTCGCACGACGCGGGGCACGTGGTACTCGCGCCATGCCCGCCTGGGCAGGATAGAGGCGTGGGTCGTCAGTTGTGTAAAAGAGCCCGAAAGAGTGTCGGAATGAGTGTCTGCACCATGTGTGGGTGCACGCCGAAACCCAACTTGAGTGCACGCATCATTTTGGAGTGTGCGTCAAAACCGAATTTGAGTGCACGCATCATTTTGGAGTGTACGTCGAAACGTGACTTGAGTGCACGCATGATTTTGGAGTGTCAAGCAGGATGTTGTTCCCTTCCTAGGCTCTGCCTAGAAGGGTTCGTACCCTCTTAGCTGAAAGGGGCCGGGCAATGCAAATCGCCCCGGGCGGTTCCCCCGGCATCCGCCCCGCGGTTCCCCAAGCTACGTCCCCTTAGCTTAGCGTTGCTTATCTCATCTTAGCTTAGCCTAGCTTAACTTAGCTTCGCTTAGCTTAGCTTAGCTTAGCCTAGCCTAGCCTAGCCTAGCTTAGCTGAGCTTAGCTTAGCCTAGCCTAGCTTAGCTTAGCTTAGTTTAGCTCAGCGTAGCTTAGCTTGGCTTAGCGCAGCATTAGCATAGCATAGCATAACATATCATAGCATATCATAGCATAGTATAGTATAGCATAGCATAGCATTAGGCCAGCATAGCATAGCGCAGCATAGCATAGCATAGCATAACATAGCATAGCGCAGCATAGCATAGCGCAGCATAGCATAGCTTAGCATAGCACAGCACAGCGCAGCATAGCATAATATAGCGCAGCATAGCATAGCATAATATAGCGCAGCATAGCATAGCATAGCATAGCATAGCGCAGCATAGCATAGCATAGTATAGCATAGCATAGCATAGCATAGCACAGCATAGCGCAGCACAGCATCCACTATTGCTGATGTTGCGTTCCCAGAGGCTCCAACTCCTAGGTTGGGTCGCACCGGGGTAATTAACGGTTCCCGGCCCACAAAACGACCCCATGATCCTCGAAACGACGAAAAACACTTCAAGACCCCACTGTCCCATATGCAGAAGCATCCTGGAAGACATCATGCTCTCGGCTCGCGGAGCTCGATACGGCAGATTCACGTCGCGACGACGTCGGCGGTGGCTTCTTCCGGGCTACTGAAGGGCGTTCAACCTTCAGCGCCTGCGCTTGTGGCCATGACCAAGACTGGGCGCAGAAATCTAGGCGTCGTTCGTCGGTCACGGTCAGCACCCACCTTGATCATCGCCAATTCGTGGAACATCCCCGCGACTCGGCGACCGCCAGCACGGACCATTACCGATATCGGCGTCGACAGTATCCTGCGACGTCTTGGTCATGGCCATGGTGTGTCTTCCCCTTTGAGCTGGGGCCGCCGCCGCGTCAACGCGGCGCGAAGCAGCGGGCCCCTCCTCTCGCCAGAGGGCCCTCGATCTCCTCGGATCTCGCGGGACCACCTGCGCCCTCGGCTGGGGGGCCCGGCTTCCTCTCACCTGCAGAGTGCGCCGCACTCGGCCCCAGGCCCAGAGGCCTCCAGATCCCAGTGGAGGAGGAGGAGGAGGAGGAGGAGGGAGGAGGAGGAGGAGGAGAAGGAGGAGGGAGGAGGAGGAGGGGGAGGAGGTCTTCGGCTTGCTCTGCCCAGGCCCCAGTGGCGTCGTCCAAAAGATCACGGCGGAGAGAGTCCCGCCAGCCCTGGAGGCGCAGGTGGTCTGGAGCGCTTCCTCTTCCGACCGCCTTCTTGTCCTTCGTGGTGGGGTATCACCACTGGTCCTCATTGATGAACAGCCCATCCCCCACTCGACCGGCCACCAACCCAGGAACCATGAGGCCCCCCCAAACGTCCCTGGCCCAATGATCATATAAAGCTCAGGTGGCAGCAACATCTGGATCATGATCAAGCACACCACCATCAGTGTATGATTGTTTGTTGTCAGGGATGGGGGTCGCGGGGGTCCGATCATATTTGTCCGTTTCGTGCTCGCCTACTTCCCGCTGCAACAGCACTGGCAAACTAGCTGCGGGTGCACACGCTATACACCATGCTGACCACCCCACCGCCACTCTGCATTGGGACGGCGAGGGGTGTCAACATGCCGCTGTGTAAATTGTCACCTGCACTGGAGCATCTGTCGCCGCCTGGCGAACTGTGCGCGCGTCTCGCGCCCGGCTCGGCTGGAGCTCGTGGAACACTGAACACTTGGCACACGTGGCGAATCTGGCGCACCAGGCGCGTGTTGCACATCTGGGCTCCTGGGTCGCCTGGCGCATCTTCAGCGCGTGGTGCACCTCGCGAGCGTCGCGGGCCTGGCGCCCGCATCTGACTCCGATGCTGTCCATCCGATGGCGCCTCTGCCTATGCTGAGTCTCTGGTGCTACTGACATGGTGGCAGGGCGGGTGGGAGTGAGCGGGACGGCTTGTGGCGAACCCTTTGAGAACTCGGCCATGCCCCTGCCCCCTCCCTGGGTCTAGGCGAGGGGGGAGGGCGAAGTGTCAGAGGATCCTTCTGGGCCCAAGGCGGGAACCGGGGGGGTCTTTCTTTGCGGCTGAAACAGCACAAATCTGATCTGAAGAAGTCTCACACGAATAAACTGGAACGAACGAGGGAACGACAGCAGCACGAACAGCTGAACGGGCGAATCTCACATCTCCACTAGTTCCTCCCAGATTCTAACAAATAATACGACACTCGCGTCACATTGCGTATCCCACACAATACACTACATAAAAAACGCGTCCTGAAATCTCAATGTGTATGTATATATACATATAGATATATGGCGATGAAACGGATTTCTCGCCGTGGACAATTAAAAAAGTGCGACAAAGGTGCTGCATGACAAATCGGAAACGCTCCGTGCACAATAACTGGCTCGTGCTTAGTGGCACCGACAATTACCAGCCTGCCATGTTCCCCGTCCTTACACAACGAGACTAAGGTGCCAACGGCGCGAATATAATCCAGTGTGGCGGCTGAGTCGGACGCACCTTACGCCAACTGGATGCGGCAGTGGCCGAAACGTTGATGTAAGCCAATTGGGCTTAATGGCCGACTACTGACGATGCACATGTAGAGGAGGGGGGAGGAAGACGGACAGGGAGGAGCAGGGAGAGCGGGCGGGGGGATGGTCCCAGACATGCGACGTCCTATTTTGTTCAGAACGGCGCCCCCGAAGTCCCGGCGTTTTCCCCAGGGACCAGCTTTTCATCCTGAGTCGTGTTCTGACGGTCCCAAGGCCCGGCGAGGGCCCTCACGGGCCGAAAATAAGGAAAAAACTCCCGCCCCCATTTTCTTACAACGCGATCATGCCGGGGGGGACCCCAGGAGCCGAAAATACGGAAACACCTCCCGTCCTGATTTTTGTTACGACGCGATCACGTCTGGGGTGAAGGGAAGGAGAAAGAGAGGAGCGAGAGGAGGGGTAGGAGAGCTCCTACAATACACCACCACCAGCCCTGGCCAGTCTTATCGTGGGCCCCAAACTGGTGCACAGGCCTTCCTGGTCTAGGCCGGGAGGTCTGTACACCGATCCAGGGCCCAGGAAGTGCCTGGCCAAGGCTGGTGGTGGTGTACAGTTGGCGGAATGTGGAAGCCCTGAACCCAAAAATGTTCACCTCTTGGGAGGTCGATGTTTGCTTCCGCCGGTTTC